AACTTGCATGGATAGGAAATATTGCAAGCATGAAACAGGGCATATCTTAATGTACGGCCATTGTACTATAAATTGTTATAATTCTAATATACTAAGAAAACATTACAATATAAGCCGCAGGCTTTAATTTTTTTGAAATAAATAACATTTTGTCCTTTTACAAACCGCACTGGATTATAAGCCACAAATATTATAAGATATTTATAAGTGAGGACTTAATCCGCTTGTTAAGAAACAAATACATATTCTTTAAAATAATTAATGTTTGTATTGGTAACACACAACATACTTATGTGGCGCATTATGCTTTTCTGCTAGTATTTTCCATATTGACGAGGGTGAGTACAAATGACCAATTGACATATCCTACAATTTCATTGGACCTCGGCACATAAGTAACAATTTAATTGGACCTCTGTAAACTGCTAGATTCATGCTGCTAAAATCTGGAACAATCTTCCTGAAGATGTGAGACAGGCCTCCTTTCTGACAATGTTTAAAACCAGGTTAAAAACAGTTCTGTTTACTGTAGCTGTGCATACAACTGAGGGATTTTATATTTTTATCTCTCCTTTTAAGGGAACAATATGTAAAAATCTGGCCAAAAGTGGTACTGCAGTCACAGTCAATATTTTGTAGTCCTCTCCCACTCTCCCTGACTCAGGTTGCCAGATACACACCAAATCCAGCAGCTAACACAGGGAATTATTGTATCAGTTGTTTGTCTGTCTTCATTCACATTGCCATGCGGCATGCTAATGTTGAATGAATGTTTAATTTTTATTTTTTATTTGGACATTTGAGATAAAAAACACAAAACAAAATAAAATCAATGTAATTATAGATTATCCAAAATAAATAAGCAATTGATGTCCAAAATAGGACTAGACCACCGATTTGCACGGTAAGAACGAGTTTGAAGAACGGACTCAAATCAGCAAGTTTTGCATCACACGTAAACTTTTATCAGCTGTCACAATTGTTCAAAGGCGTCCCGATATAAATCCTCGTTTTAGTCTTTGTTTTGTCATTAAATATTTGAGAGTCATAACAAGACCTTTTTTAGTTCTGCGCCACATGTTATTTTACCTCTGAGATTAGCCGCGCGGAGTTCTGGCAACCCGATCACGGACTTACATGACACTTCCTGATTGGCGAAACGGCAGAGGGTAGGACATCAAAATCAAAACAATAACAACTTTTACGGATGTATTCGAAAAGAGCATGATTTAATAACACCTTTTGAAACATTGGGGCCATTTAATGATGACTTGACATGCAAATATTACATACTGCTACTTCTGTGATTATTTCTGTGATTATTTATGATTTTAATGCTATCTTGTTCAGCACTTTGAGTTGCCTTGTGTATGAATTGTGCTATACAAATAAACTTGCCTTGCCTTGCCTATGTAACGGGTCTGATTTTCTCCGCTCTGCGTTGTGTTTACTTGATTGTGTGGTGCGGAGGAACACACGAGAGACAAGCTTACGAGGCGTTCTTTTATCTGGTCAATAAAAAACAAAAACAATGAACATGTGCCTCTGCATCACTCACAGCCCAAACTCTTCCCTGACACGGGTTTTCAAAGGGCAATATACATACCTGGTCAATAAAAAACAAAAACAATGAACATGTGCCTCTGCATCACTCACAGCCCAAACTAAAAAGACATACAAAACGTAAATGACAACAAAATTACAATTAAAATGGACATTTTGAGACATAAAAAACATAAAGTGACTGACCTCTTCCCTGACACGGGTTTTCAAAGGGAAGAGGCAGCGGGAAAACCCCGAATTTATAGTGGGGGAACGGGGGACACACGAAGAAGAAATATAAACACGGGAGTGGCTGGAGGACCAAAGCTGCACAACGAATCAAAGACCAGGACAAAAAACAATTATAAAAATAATAAAAACTTGTAATAAAAATACAATAATAACTGTGTAATTCACATAACACTTACATAAACAAATTAAAAAAAATACACTGTAAAGTTTTGAGAGAGGTCACTAAAATTTACTTTGCTACATACTCCCCTCTGAACTTCTCAAAACCGTCCCAATACACATCAACATGGACCAAGAGTAACATATGCGCCAGCCAACATAAACAAACCCTATCTAGTCTCCACTCGACTGCAACATGTATGTCTTCCTAACAGAAGGAAAAGCAACACTGAAAAGTTGGCCAAACTCTGCAATGTGTGCTCGCAATGAGATAGTGCCGTATACACAACCTCTTCAACGGGTAATTAGTGGCTGCTACTCCCCATTCAACTGATTGGTTAACAATTTTACTTATACAGTGAACTCACACTGTCTGAACGTTCTTTTGCGCCATGTTCTGTATCAGTCTGTGTACTGGCTTTACAAGTCTTCCAGCTCTCGTTCTGAAGAGGCTAACTGAGTCCATAGGTGGTTCTCCGGACTGATCACGTGAACTGGGGACTTGTCTGGGAACATTCTCATCCTCTCCAGCACTTTCAGATTCATTTTCAGTACCTTTAAAGCCTTGAGAGTCAACACACGACCCTGCTTCCATATCTAAGGCTTCCTGAGAAGGATTTGAACCTGAGAGGGAGCCTTCAGACACTGTTTTTGCGACCCACTCAGCTGTGCGATTGTCCACACTGTTTTCGAGATTGACAACTGACATTTCGGCATTTACACTGTCTGCGTTACTTTGTTCAGGGGTGGAATTAAAAGATGACACAGAGCCATAGTCAATTTCGAGTGGTAAGAAGTTTGCCGACAGAAGGAGATTACGATGGACAACCTTCTCCTGTCCGGTAGCTGTATTTTTCACCCGGTAAGTGTGACATCTGGGATCTTTGGAAATGACTGTGTAAAGAGTGGAACTCCACTTGTCGGCAAGCTTTCTCCGGCCACGCTCACCCTTGTTAGCCAAGAGAACCTGGTCACCTTCCTCAATATCCGTCCCTTTGGCTCTCAAGTTGTACAACCGAGCTTGGCGGCGCTGACTAGCATCTGTATTGGCTTGTGCTGCAGTGAGGGCTTCTTTCAGAGTGTCTCTAATTTTCTTTACATAACTGTCATAGTCTGTGATCTCGTTATCTCTGTGTGCATTGTGGAACATGACATCCACTGGGAGTCTCGGTATGCGGCCAAACATCAAATAAAACGGTGCATAGCCAGTCGACTCATGGGCTGTACAGTTGTAGGCGAAAGTCAGTGTTTGGAGCATTTGTGGCCATTTGCTTTTGTCACGGGGTGGCAAGGCTCTGATCATATTTCCCAATGTCCTATTGAACCTTTCGGTCTGTCCGTTACCCATAGGGTGATAGGGTGTGGTCCTTGACTTTTTCACTCCAGAGATCTCCAACAGTTCCCGAATGAGCTCGCTCCTCAAAGTTTGCACCCTGGTCAGCGTGGACTCTCTGGGGGAAACCGTATACGCAAAAGTATTTGTCCCACAATTGGCGGGCTACCTGTTTTGCGGATTGGTCCGGACACTGGAAAGCGTGGGCCATTTTGGTGAAATGGTCAGTTACAACCAATACATCCACACTCCGACCTTTTGCATCCTCAGCTGACCAGAAGTCAATACACACCAATTCCAGGGGGCTCGTGGTTTTGATGCTTTCAAGAGGGGCTCTTCCCTCTGGCTCAGGAGTCTTACTCACTACGCAGCGTTTGCAGCACTTAACATACTCCCGGACACTCTGCTCCATACTAAGCCAGAAAAAGCGTTGCTTGGCCAGGTGTAATGTCCGGCTCTGGCCTTGATGTCCAGCATCGTCGTGTACACCACGTAGAACTTGGCCAACAAGAGACATGGGGGTTATGTACTGATGCCGCTTTTTGCCTGTAGTTAAGTCCTTACATACCCTGTACAGAATGTTATCAAGCATTTTTAGCTTCTCCCACTGCTTCAGGAGTTTCAGAGCTCTTGGAGACAACACAGACCTTTCTCTCCTTGATGGCCGCCTGCCACGCGCTACAAACGGGACAACTTGTGCGATAGTGGTGTCATTGAGCTGCGCATCTTGGAGCTCCTGAACAGAGAACACAGGCAAGGTGACTTGACCTGGGGGGACAAGGTCGTTTATGTCCTGGGCTAGCCAAGAAACCACTCTCTGCTCTGCACTCTGTTCCTCTGCTAGCTGACTTGAAAGGACTGCTGACACTTCTTCACTAGATAATGACTGGGTAATCTGGAGACAGTTTACCTCTTGGTAGTCTGCACTAGCTCTAAACACTTCTTGAACTGTGTCTACTCTGAGCTGCTCTGATTCACGTAACAAACACTCATAGGGCTCTGCTACCAGTCTCTGGGAAACATGATGAACTTTGATGAAAGGTTGGCGGCTTAGGGCATCAGCGACAATGTTCTTACTGCCTGGGATGTATTTGATGTTGAAATTGTATGGAGCCAACTTTGCCACCCACCTTTGTTCACACGCATCAAGTTTGGGTTTCGTGAGGATATAGGTCAGGGGATTATTATCCGTCCAGACAGTGAATGTGTTTCCTTTGAGCCAGTGGCTAAATTTATCACAGACTGACCACTTCAACGCCAAAAACTCTAAGCGGTGGGCAGGGTATTTGCTCTGTGCACGAGTAAGAGATTTGCTGGCAAATGCCACAGGCCGCGCTTTTGTCTCTCTGTCCTGAAATCTGGGTGCGCCAAGACCACGGACTCCAAGAGGGCAACTTTCAACTGTTCAAATGCGTCTTTATGTTCCTGCTTCCAATCACTGGGGTGCAACTTCTTGAACGCAGCAGCACCACGTGCGTTCCCTTTCCTCCCTTTGGGGGCAGCAGTCAGGGCGAAAAGGGGCTTAGCTAACCTGGAACAATCTTGAATGAACTGCTGATAGTACATTGCCATGCCCAAGAATGATTTTATTTTCTTCTGTGAGGGTGTTATTCCATCCTCCATCATGAGATCTGTCTCAGCCATAGAACTGATGGCCTTGACCTTTTCGGGGTCGGTGGCGACACCATGTCTGTCCACAACGTGCCCAAGGAACTTAACACTTCCTCCTAAGAAGTTGGCATTTTTTGGGAGCAAGCTTCAATCCATGAACTCTCAGCCGGCTAAAGACCATTTCCAGCCTTCTTAGCGCTTCTGCCTCATCAGGTGCATAAACAAGGACATCATCAAGATAGCAAAGGAGGGTCATGAAGTTCTGGTCCCCAAAGATACTCATCATGAGCCGCATGAAACTGGCAGGACTGTTACATAGGCCTTGTGGGAGCCTATTAAACTCATATAGGCCCATGGGAGTGGTAAAAGCAGTGAGCTTCTTATCTTCTTCGGCCATGGCGATGTTATAGAAGCCAGAAGTAAGATCCATCGCACTGAAGATAGCACTTCCTCCAAGGGCTGCCAGACAGTCTGCTTGGTGTGGCAACGGATGAGCGTCTTTGACCGTACGCGCATTGAGCCAGCGATAATCCACACAGATTCTCAAGTCTCCACTCTTTTTCCACACAAGAACCAGCGGAGATGCCCACTCACTTTTCGATTTGCGAATTATCTCTAGCTCCTCCATCTCGGAAAGGACCTCTCTGAGTTTGTGGTACTGCCCAGGTGGGACTCTGCGGTACGGGAGCCTGAATGGCCGAGTATCGGACAGATGGATTCTGTGGACAATGTCTTTAGCTGATCCACAGTCCAGTTTGCTCTTAGAAAAGACATCCTCATACTTCCGAACAAGCTCCATGAGTTGACCTTTCCAATAGGGTGACACCTCACAAGAGTCGATATCAAGATTTTCAAGCCCAAGCATAGTCAAGGTTTCTTGGAGGCCAAAGTGCTCACAAGACACGGCTTGGTTATTCACTCCCACGGTCTCAACGGCCTCTGTGTCCTCATCCAAGTCCTCAACAGCAATGCAAGCAGACACTTCTGCCATCTTTGTATTGCGCCTCAGAGTGATAGGTTTACTGGAGGTGTTAAGCACTCGGATTGGGATCCACCTGTCACCATGCATGTTAGACACTGACCTGCACACAATGATGTCATTTTTGTGGGTTAGGCACTTCGATGGCTCAACCAGCACAGCGCTACCTTCAGAGAGAGCAGAATTAGAGGGCAACCTGCTCCAAATGAGGTGCTCTTGTCTGGGCTGGAGAGTTAAAGCTTTTGTCAGCTTGGCGGTTCCAATAACATCAGGAATGTGGTCCCCTTTCCACCTGTTAATGCCAGACAGCATGTTAAGAAACTGCATAACCTCAGGCGAATCTGTCGACTCAGGTTTACTTAAAACTTCCCAGAACTGAGTGGACTGTCTGAACTGTTTGAGAATGTACTTTATGGCATTAGTTCCAATAATCATTTGGTCTCTCTGTCCTGGAACCACTAACGCTGGGACTCTAAAAGTACAATCATACACTCGCACTTTTAAATCATAAACACACTTCGGCTTTACCTTTACCAATAATCATTTGGTCTCTCTGTCCTGGAACCACTAACGCTGGGACTCTAAAAGTACAATCATACACTCGCACTTTTAAATCATAAACACACTTTGGCTTTACCTTAACTCCACCACAACCTACCAGCACTACATCAGGGCAGGTGTCATTGGGTGTAATCACAGCCCCAGCACTCTTTAACATTTGCTCTGCCTCCTCACTGATCGTACATGCCATGGAGCCAGTATCCAGTAGAGCTTTAAGTGAGATAATGTCCTCCATCTGTGCATCGACATAAAATAAACTGTCGGCTTTGTCGAGCCTCGTTATATTCTGGAAGAGAACAGTGTCCGAGGGGGAGGCTTTAACACACTCAAAGTAAACAGACTGGGCATCATTATCATGTTCGAGGGTTTCCATTCGATCACTCACATTGTCCCCTCCCGCATGTGAGTGCATTAGTTTCCCTGAAACAGTGGAGCTGGGGTGCCGCCCTGGACTGTGGGGGGCTTAGTGCAGTCTTTTTTGTGGTGCCCAACCTCTAGACAGCCCAAACACCTTCTCTCTCTCATACAATGCGTGCGTGTCGAATGAGAGGTCTGTTTACAGACACGGCATGGAGACTGGTGCCCAAATGGTGAGGGTGGTGCTGAGGGCACAGGATGACTGCTACGCTCCAACACTTTCTCTAACATTCTTAGCACTCTCTCCAATGCATCTGACCCCGGGACAGATTGTTCATTCGACTTGGGTGGACTAGTGACCTTAGTGATGTTTACATTGGCATACTCTGTGTTACACTCTGAGGGATCGATGTCTACAGCAGTGGCTACACGGAGAGCCTGCGGTTTGGCTAGAGGTGCAGCTAACCTCTTAGTTTGGTGCTCTCTCTGGTGCTCATCAATAGCTTCCTGCACCTCAGTGAGTGACCACTTACTGATCGGTTTACACTTGAAAACACAGGCAAGGTTGGTGTCAGGGCAGTTTCGGATAAACATCATGGCTATTTCTGAGTCCATATTGTCCATTTTACCACCTTGGCGCTTTAAATGCCTGTCCGCTACCTCCGCGGCTGTGTTTAACCGGACCCAAAAGTCTACGGGTGTTTCTTTGACTAATGGCTGTGTAGCGTAGAAATCAGCTAATGGCAGACATGAACCAGGGGTCTCACTAAAATAGCGCCTCAGAATGCTGTATATTGTCTCTGGACTGATTTGGATGCTACTTGAGCTACTCTTAAGCCCCACTCTGACAATACTCCTTGCCCTGCCAAGGAGATGGTTTAGCACCTCATTTGCTTGTTCACTGGGTGAGAGGTCTTTCTTGCGCAAATACACTTCAACTGTTTCAATCCACTCATGAATCGAATACTTGTCTGCACCATCACCACGATACATGGGTGGCTCTTTAATGTCCGGTCTGACAATTAAACTGACTTTGGACAGGTCAGTGGTCATATTAAGTGTGTCAGCTCTGGGTGAATTAGCACATGGGGGCTGTGGGCTAAGGTGCTGCTGGCTTGATAGTATACGACCAGCTATAGACTCCCCTATCTGACTGGACAATTCACCAATAAGTTCACGCAACTGATCTGTTGTGTTTTCACTGGCAACAGTGGGTGTTGAGTACTGTGGCATAGGCCTATGACCAACAGTGTTTGACTCGAAAAGTCTTTGAGGGATGGACCCAGGGGTTTCATTCACAAATGTCAATAGCCCTCTACCCCTCCCAACAGGTGTAAACAAATCAAAAACTTCATCACGTTTTTGTGCCATATTCAAAATATTAATTTAGCCAAAACCTTTCATAAGATGTGCAATTGGCAAAACACAACTCTTTCTTTTATGACTGTAATTAAATACCACTGCTTATATGCAAAGCACACTCAAGCTTCGGTTTTTCCAAGATGGCGGTTCCCGCGGGCAGCGCACTCTTGCTTTGGTTTTTCCAAGATGGCGGTTCGCGCGGGCAGCGTACTCTTGCTTCGGGTTTCTTTAGATGGCCGTCAGCGAGGGCAGCGCACACACCAGTCTCTAGCGCTGACGGATGACTTGTTGGATCCACTTGAAGGCGAGTTAGACACGAACTCCGGGCGAACAAGCACACGGCAGCACCTCGGCGATCGGCAGTGGCTGATCAAGCGATCCGGGTCACGGCACCAGTGTAACGGGTCTGATTTTCTCCGCTCTGCGTTGTGTTTACTTGATTGTGTGGTGCGGAGGAACACACGAGAGACAAGCTTACGAGGCGTTCTTTTATCTGGTCAATAAAAAACAAAAACAATGAACATGTGCCTCTGCATCACTCACAGCCCAAACTCTTCCCTGACACGGGTTTTCAAAGGGCAATATACATACCTGGTCAATAAAAAACAAAAACAATGAACATGTGCCTCTGCATCACTCACAGCCCAAACTAAAAAGACATACAAAACGTAAATGACAACAAAATTACAATTAAAATGGACATTTTGAGACATAAAAAACATAAAGTGACTGACCTCTTCCCTGACACGGGTTTTCAAAGGGAAGAGGCAGCGGGAAAACCCCGAATTTATAGTGGGGGAACGGGGGACACACGAAGAAGAAATATAAACACGGGAGTGGCTGGAGGACCAAAGCTGCACAACGAATCAAAGACCAGGACAAAAAACAATTATAAAAATAATAAAACTTGTAATAAAAATACAATAATAACTGTGTAATTCACATAACACTTACATAAACAAATTAAAAAAAATACACTGTAAAGTTTTGAGAGAGGTCACTAAAATTTACTTTGCTACACCTAAACAACTCATCAATTCTGTTGGTCTACTGTTAGTTGGAAAAATGTTTTTGGCGCCACCGAGTCCTGAATTTACGGTATATAGAAATAATATAAACGCAAACTTTTGCGCAAAGCCAGAGGACCTCCTGGAGCCTCCATGTGAACCCTGTGATGTCTACTTACCCCTGTCATAAACTAGAGTAGTAAATAAAAGCCATGTGAAACTCATTTATAGTGAGACAGAGAAGGAGGAAATAAGTACAGTAATTATGGGATATTCCGCCAATCCTGTCTTCAACATAGCAAATAGCAAATGGTTTGATTGCTCCTCTCAATGTCAACATCCAGCCAAGGAGGATACATTTCCTGTTATTTATTCATTTTCCCATTTCACAAACAAACACAGGCAGCAATCGAAGTCTCCTTCTGCTCTCCTGGTACAATAAGTCAATAAGAGAATTCATACATGGACATTAAATTAGATCATAGCAACAACATTGGTTCATTGCAGTGCAAGTAAGAAATCCAAGTGGTCCCAACGTTGACTTGTTGTGCAGGCAGAGCATACTCATCTGATACAAGAGCATTTCCATCTGTGAATCTGGTGTTTCCTTGTTTCTTTTGATCATTCATTGTGTGAGTTTTATATCAATGAGCCACAATAGCTTGAACACAATTGCAAAATGCAATTGGCTCACATTCACAAGTCAATCTTGCTTGGTCTCTTTTTAATACTTGGCCTTATATATTTTGTGTTTTTATTGTATTTCATTTTTGTAACTTTGATTTCAACCAAATCAGGCCATTGGCATTAAGACTCCATCTGTTTCCATGTAGAAATGAAAATAGAATGGTATCTTGTCATTTCATAGGAATATCAATTATGAAATATAAATAAAAAAAAACAATAAAACTAAAGTGTTGTTTAAAATCATCTGTATTTCTTTGACAGAAGGAACTGAACAATAAGAGTGTGGCTCATGAGCTGATTAAACAGTCTGTGTGAGTAAACATCTCCAGGTCAGCTGCTGAGCAGATGTAATTGTCCTGCTTTGTAACTCTGCTATGCTCCATTTGTCCAGCCCACGGATAGGCTCACAATCACAGATATGTAGTGCACTGCATACGTGTCCGGAGTGAAAAACTGAGGCCATCAAGCCTTTGTGCTCCTATCAGGAGTTCGTGGTGGTGATGAATACATACAAGGAAATTAGTCCAAGATGAGGGCTAATTGTCTGATTAGATGTGCTTCAGGTTGATAAATGCACAATAAGACTGTGCACATAGAGCAGTCATTAACGGACATTAGACCATTAAATCGAGCATTACAGTATAGCTGGAGGGAAAGATACGAGACTTCATTAATGCTTCTTTGCACGTAGGGGCGTCCATGTTTGTGTGGATGTGCTCGCTACCTTTTCTGTCAGAGTCTTGTCTTCGTGTCTTGTTGTCTGCTGAGCTCTGCCTCTGCACCTGTCCAGAGAGGAGACATGGCTTAAATTAGCTTTTCAACAAGACTACATTTGCACAAGTCTACTATTTGCTGAGAATATTTGAAAACCAAATATGATGGTGATGTTTGCCTCTATGTGAAAGTTCTAAATAATACCTAACAAGCAACAATTTGCACTTTCAAATTGTTGCACTTCAATTGATTTTATTGTTACAAGACCATCTAAACAATCTAAAAATACTCTAATGATCCTGCTTCATGGGGAAAAGAAGGTCAAGGTACATTTGATCGCAACAATTTTAATAACCAATTTAAAATAAAGAAAGAGACTAAGCTGACAATGAAATATTCAGA